CGTTCAGGATAACTGGAGTGGCTGGAAGAGAGTCACTCAGCCTCAAATTATAAAAAAGATGTTAAAAGTAAAAGGCCACCAAACATGTGAACTTCAAGGAAATTTCTAATAACTTCTAATATCATATTTAATTTTTAACTAAGGCATAAAGCTACTTTCTTTTGTCAAAGGTAGCAGAAATTCACAGTGTATAAAAGGAAAATTAAAAGTGGGAAAAATCAGAATAGGGATAATAATCCAGAATGTGGTCCCAATTTTAAGTTAGGCAGATCTGTCCTTTTAAGAGAAATTGAGGTTCAGCTAAAATCAGTGGAAGGTTGATCATGTGTGCATGGTTACTCTGATGTCTGTAGAACTGAACTCACACATGATTTTTCAAAAATACATGCATGTTCGTTGATTCACTGATTTTTATTTTTTAATTACTTGTAATCAGTGTCTACTCCTGCGAGGAGCAGGGAGTTGGACTCATCATCCTTATGGGTCTCCTCTTCCAACTTGAAATATGCTATGATTCTATTAAGTTTTTGTTTACTTCATTCAGGAAGAGCATCACCTTTTTTGCAAGGCAGAAAACAATTGAAGAAAATTTGTCTCTTCCTTTGCAAATTACAGATTATACCCTCTGCTTTCTTAAAAAAAAACCAAAAAAACTCCTTCTCTCATTCTAGACCAAATAGCTAACTTTTGCAATCTAAATTGTTTGCTTATTAATTAAGCAACCCTATTGACTGACTTTCACATTACCTAATAAACCTTCCAAAACAAATAGAATATGCCCCCAAAACCCACCCCTTTCCCTATGGGAGGAGATTCCTCAGTTATCAGGATTAATTAGTTGTCTTGTTGTCACATGAAAAGAAGGTGCACCCCCCAGTGTAGGTCAGTGTGAGGGTAGGCGGCTGCTGATGGTCGCTTAGTGACAGGCACAATGATAAGTGAATGTGTCCTGTTGAGCCATGACCCTTCAGAAAAGACAGTGTCAAGTAAAATGCCCAGAGAAGGTACATCGAAGGCATAATCTGCTTCTAAATATTGACAGTAGGAATTTCCCTGCTATTCTCCCTCCTTTTTCTTTTCTGGTAAACATGTCAAACCCTATTGCATTTGTACTCTGCATCAGTTCTGAAGCATTTAAAAATGTAAGGGAGCTAATGACCCATGAATAGATAGAATGTCAAATAAAGCAATTTTTCTTCAAGATTTAGGATCTTGCTGGTAAAAGCAGTCTTGCATACTTGCAAAAGCAACAATGTTGGCTTGAAATAAGATCTTTTACTTCAGCTTTTTGTCACTGAGGAAGTAAGTGAATGGATATATAACAAATCTGATATATCATGCCAAATACGCTGATGTTAGGTCTTGAATACTAGTATGATTAGCTACTGGAGTTAAGTGTCTAAAATGTACTTGAAATCAATGATGAAACTCTGGCTTATATCAATGAGAGCAAAGTTAGACAAACACTAAGCACTCTTTACGATCCCACCCACAATATTTACAAATACTGTGGTGTCTTTTAGATATACATAATATGTGTAAAAGGGCAAAAGCTTGAATATGTATCCAGTATATCTGGGCTTCTTTTTTGCCTGCATGATGGGGTGAAAAGAGCTGACGTTTTGTTTGGTTTTGTTTGTTTGTTTGTTTTTTTCCATTTTATTTTAATAACTCTGAGGCAGATTTTCGAACACGCAGGCTTCCAGGCTGTCTTGTTTTGTATGCTTAGTTTAAGATAGATCTTGAGATTTTTCATGTGGATATCTTTGCTTATATCACTGCAGAGTTATCAAGAGAAAAGTCTGCGACATTTATAATGATTTCTTGCCCTTCACCTTTGGCAGACTTTGAAAACAAGCACAGCCCACATTCCCAGGGCTGGTCTCAGCACGGGTCAGGTGGGAGCATGGTGCTGCATAGCTGGCTTTGCTCCTGGCCAGGGTGCCGGTGCTGGTGCTGAGCAAAGCCAAGCATTCAGCACCTCAGTCATGACGAGGCACTGCAGACGTGCTGTCTGCCTTGCTGTCAGCACCTGTCACTCACCTGGATTTTCTACCTTTCAATCAGTTTTACACTTGAAGTAACCTACTTGTCTTTAGCAGCTGGGCTTTGATCCCAACAAGTTTCTCTGGCAGACAGTTACTGTTGGTTTTTTCTCATACATATTGAACTGTTTGTAAACACTATTGCATGCTTTCAGCTTTTCTAGAGCCTGAAATAAGGAGCAGTTTGGGGAAGCTTGAGGCCAAGTCTCCCCCTGAAGTAAAGAACAAGATTCATAAAGCTGGACATAAACACTGCCTTCTTGGGAGAGCATCTGAGCCTCCAATTCTGGGATAACAAGAGGAATACGAATGAAATGCAGGAACGTGGTGGTTTCAGGAAGCTGTCAGATTGTTTAGCTGGAGGACATTGACAAATTAAAGTGCTTGGGTTGCTCTTCACAGAAGCTGCCTGAGATGTTGTAATGTCTTATCTCAGTGTCTCAGTGTTTTATTTCAGAACTGCAAATGAGTAGATTCATAGACGGTAAGCATCTATGGGAGACTATCCCATAAAAGCACAGTGCGCTATTTGGCAGACCTGGCATTTGAGAGTCCAGATCCTTAAATGGTAGGTGAGAAAAATGTATGTTTGCAAGACATCACATAACAAATTGCTTCTTCAAAGATTTGCTGCATCTTTTTTCTCCCATCTCAACAGCTGGCACAATATATTCATTTCTAGTTAGAAGTACGATTGCATAGACAAATCGCAGAGGAAGCCTGTGTATTTGTACAGAATCACCATTCAAATTTCTGGTAATATTTGTGTTGCAGTTCAGAGGACCTCTTTATTCTGAAAACTTGTTATGCCTTTGCTTGAAGCCTGTTTAAGTGAGCTATAATTTAGTTTATCTCTGTGTTTAAGTGTACCCTTTTACATCTTCTTTTGAATAGGGATGGATGTTGGTATATACAGAAAAACTACTGGACCCACAGCTTAAATAAGATATACAGGACTAAAAAGAAAAATGGAGATCTATGTAACTAACTTAAATGCCAAAGATTAGTTAAAAGTTAGTTAACCCCTACACTGTACATTGCCTATATTGTTAAGGAAGAGAAACAGGTCTTTGAAGACCTCTAGCAAACAGTTTTGGAGATCTAATCAGCTATTTGCTTTTTTTTCACAGATTGTGTTAGATAGTTCCAGAATGGGATTTAGGTCTCTTGTCTCCACCAATGTTAAAAGGAATTAGTAGGAAATACTTAACTGCCAAATGGAGCACAGCTGGCTCCTCAAAAAAGACCCCCAAAACCATCAGATGAGGGCAGTGCCTCTCTACCGTTTGTACAAAATCCTTAAACTTTTAGTGTCTCCCTCCAAAAATGGAGAGTTGTCTTCTAGGCCTTTCTCTCACTGAAGGAGTTCAAGTCTACATCTCGGAACAAAGTTTTGCTGTTCGGCCTCTAATCTGAGACTACATCTGCTACTGGATGAAAGCTGCTGAATTTGGAGCAGCCATTGACTTGGGAGAGTTTATGCAGTTGACATTTAGTCACCAATCTCAGATGGAGTTGATGTCTGAAATTTCCTGCTATAGTCAGCGACAGAGGGAGGCCTTTCCAGTGGTTGATCCAGAGCACCCAAATAAGGTTCATGTGTTTCTACTGTGTTTGGTCCATAAAGCTGTTCATCTTTGTCTGTGGCAGGGACCTTTCTGGAGGGGCTTAAAATAGCTGAACTGCAACTGTACTTCACTGCTTTCTGGTGGAAAAATCCACGTTACCCTTGTTTACGTGGTGCTGCTTCTCTCATGTGTTGACAAAGAAATACTTTGTCTTGGAATAAAGTGATATGGGGCACTCTCTGCTCCTCTCTCTCAGCACTAAAATCTTCACAAATTGCACTCAGGTCCACGTTTAGACTTAAACTGGTTTTCAACTTTTAACTGTTTCAAAATATTTGCTTGTTATGTTCTTAACTTCTGGAACACTTTGCTGTCAGTGAGAGGGCAATGGGATGGATCAAGGACTGTTTCTTCTCTAAGGCATGCATTTCTGTCTGCTTGCCATGAGAGCTTTTGTGGCCATAGCCTGTTATGGGGCAAAGATAAAACATTATGCCTTTGTGGCACTTGCTGGCTCAATGTGAGGGAAAGTCCTGTGTTCCTCTAGACTTCTGACCTTGGGGCTTTTTCATGGACTTCCTAAAAATTGCCTCCACATGGCCTGTGAGAAGCCTGCCTGGATGTTTTTAAGTGTCCTAAGCCACCTCATGCTATATGACACCCAGGGTTTCACCCATACCATAACAGTCTGGCCATGACCAGGGCCATGTAGGCACACTTGCTTTTTCAATAAGCAGCAAATCTAGTCTGGACAGTGCCTTGAACTTGTTCTCAGAATTTGTTGTAAAGCTGTCCTTTTGACACCACTGCACTGGAAGGAAGCTTGCAACCAGTGAGGGACCGAAGGTAACAGCGCTGAGACCTTCAGTCAGGAAGCGAAGATGTGTAATTCTTTCCAGAGCAGTTCCAGCTTTGCAGCAAGCTGTTTGAGTGAGAGTTCAGTATCTTAGAGGTCATTACATGGCTCTTGCCATGGAAGTGGCCAACTTTTGCCCTTCCCATTGAAGAGGCTGCCATGGTGGTATTTTCTAAGGAAATGCAGCCAGCAGTGTTTGAGGGCATGCTTCATTGGTTAAATATGTAGCTGCAAGGTCCTGAACTTTCTTCATGGTACACTCAGTGAAAAATTTGACAGCAAAGTCATTGACTGAAATTTGCATAGCTTTCATTTCTACTTTCTTTCCTGAGTAATTCTCATGGAAGATTGTGTGTCCTGAGTCAGGACAGCAGGATTTTGCTCAGAGGAAAAGAGTATGTGTAGTAAGGGAGACATCCCCTTTTCTTTGCTTTCCTCTTCCAGTATAACATAATAAATGTGAATGGACTGGGAACAGGATGATTTGTCAGTGTTAATGTTTGTTTTTTTTTTTTTTCTTTGTTTTTCTAGGATCTAGTTCAGGATCAAAATTAAAAGTTCCTGAGCTGAGCATAAATGGCACACAGCACGTTGTTCAAGCAGGCCAGAGTTTAAATCTCACTTGCAGGTAACAGCTGAGTTGGATTCTGATAATTTGGCTGGGAGTTCATACACCTGACACTTTCTTTTTTTGTAACTGAAATTAGAAAAAAATGAAACCTTATGTTGTGGGGAAAGGTGGGGAGTGAACTTCAATGGCAATTGTTTAATAGTTCTTTGTTGTTTCTGTTGTTGTTTTTGGAAAACAAGATAAAAGAGAACCCCAGAAATAGCATGATATAATAAAAAAGAAAGCTTGGGAACTGCAGCTATATAATTGCAGCCCAGCATAATTGTTTCTGCTTCCTTATCTGTATTTGCAGGGGGGAAATGGTTCATTCATGGTCTTTGCCTGAAACTCTAAGTAAGGATAGCAAAAGGCTGAAAGTAATTAAATATGCCTGTGGAAGGAATGGGAAGCAGTCATGCAGCAGTCTGACCTTGAGCAGAACTCAAGCAAGTGACACTGGAAACTATAGCTGCAAATACCCAACAAGTCCAGCAAAAAAGAAGAAGGAATCTACAGTCTATGTATTTATTAACGGTAAGATTATGGTTTTTTTAACACTTCTTGATACTTTCAGTTCACTACAGCAAAATGGATAAATAAGGCAGTTCAGCTGTGGTTAAATGGAGGGTTTTGAATGAAATCTTCAGCTTTGCAAAGTGTCATTATAATTTGCCAATTAATGTGTAAAGTCTGCTTTCTCAGAAGTTGCAAATACATATGCTAGTGGTTTGTCTGTTAAGAGAAAAATGAAGAAAGAAAAAGGCCCAATCCAACCAATCTACTAGAGTAAGTAGAACCCCATATGGAAGTAAACTAGAGTGAATCTGTGAAATGGGTATCAAAGAAGTAATATCTTACAGAATTGGAAGATGACTGTTGAAAACCATATATCTGGTACAATGTCCACTTTAACGTGTCTGTGCAAGATTATAGATTTCTAGGCAACTGAAGGATGCCAAAACTGTTTATCCAGATCACTGAGTTGTCTCGTGCTGTAGAAAATTACATTTTGCATGTAAGTCACATTTGGAAATGTACTCTGCAGTCCACATTAATTCTAGATTGTAAAAATCTAGAATAAATTGAATCAAACTAAATACAGAATTGTGTTCAGCAAACAAGTATTGTGTGATGTATGGGAAAAGCTGGAATTAGGTCAGTTAGGCTATAACAGAAATTGCTTTCTGATCCTCTTTTCTTCCAGGATACTAATCAGATACTTCTCAGAACAGTGAATTCAATAGACACAATAATAAAAGAAGAAATTATAAACACTTTAGGGTTTTAATTTAATTTATATTTTAGTTTTTCTTGATTTTAACAGAATAAAATTAATAGATTACTGTAAGGTATCGGGATTCTCAGATTTTGAAAGCCCATATTACAGAGAATGTGCGACTGGAAGTTTTCCAAATTATGTGTCTGCTGCTTCTAACGAGTTCACATCAGAGTGAATTAGCCTTTGTTTTCATTTTGTGACATGAAGAGTGGGACTGGTGCTGTGAAAAAGCAGAGTGAAGTGGACCTCTCACTACAGTGATAGAAAATATGATAGCTCCCTCCATTACTGTGTGTTGTTTTACTGGAAATTACTGAATATTTCATGTTTGTCTTGCTTTCCTTCATCTGAAATATACCACAGAGTGTTTTTCTCACCCAACTATTTTCATATAAATCACTGAATATCCAGCTACAGATGCATTGATGGAAGCATAACTAAACTAGGTTAGTCATTTAGTGGCCAACATTTCCTGCTGCCTAGGAAAACTTACAATTTTCTTGAATGACTTGTGCAAGTTTTCCATCATGGGACCTTCTTGAACCTCCCACCTTGGATGTTGGGTGATTCCTTTGTATTTAATAAGAGATTCCTTTATGTTCTCTTAGTATTTTTTGTGTTTGAAGTATTAATTTTTCTGGATCCTGAATTTTTGCAAATGGAAGACACAGTCAGTCTTTGTAACTCCTCACTGCTTCCTGAACTGTATGTAGCTTGATTGCATCTAATGGAGAACCTCAGTTAGAGGTATGTGAAACAAGGTTATCTGCCTAATTCACATGGTGGTGGAAGAGTAACTTATTATTGGAGCAATAGCTTTTGGACAGCCTCTCCCCCAATAATAAGTTAAAGAAGAGTGCCTGAGTGGCTTGGTGATTTTGATTTTTCAAGGACATTCAGTCATTAAATGTTGATGTTGCTGTTGAAGACAGGATTCAATTACATTTCTCCTCCTACCTTACTTGCCAAGAACAGTAAAATTTTTAAATCGCAAACCTGTATCAAGCTTAGGTATCTTTGTCATCTTAACTTTCTGAATTTGACAATCCTTTTAACTGAAAAGCAATTTCTTAACACTTAAGTGTTGGTTGTGTCCTAGTAAGCACGTATGAGAGTAAGGGCACACTACTGATAAGGAGGGAGGCTGCAAGGTAACTGCTTATTTAATGCCTGTTGAATGTGTCATTGTGCCCTAAGGTGGGGAAAGGTATATTAGTCCTCCAAAAATGTCCAATTTCAGGAAGAATTGTTCAGTAGGTTGGAAAGAAACAAGATACTGAGTACCAGAACTCACTCTTTCTGATCAGCGTAGCATTACCATTTGGAAAGAAAATAATTAAGGAACCTCTTAATATTTAAGTCCTTGTTTCTGTGAACATGCATGAAATTCAATTACCTGGCTCAAGTGGAGGTGAGACGGGGGTAACAAAATCCTCTGTGAAAAGTACCTTCTGTGAGTTTAGTTTTATATTCAATTAATTTGTGGGTGCTTAGGAAATGAACATTTGTAAAATTTGGGTCCCTCTTAGTTTTATACTGTTTTATGTGGCAGGACACTGTGTCAGTCCATTTCCCATATTAGCTCCATGTGGATCACTGAGGTGCCTCTTTCCCATGTCTTGGCATGCTGCAGATGAGAACAAATAGTTGCTATTTACAAGCACTGGATCTGAATCAGGGAAGTCAGTAATATTTGTACAGGAAGACATCACTTACTGTTTTAAAAATGTTATTCATTTCTGTAATTATAGTGATACTGAATATGAACTGGATTTAAAAAACAAAACTAAAACCAAACAATGAACCCAGTAAGTAAGTCCTTTGGTTCAGTAATGAGTGTTTGCTATGGCAGAAGATGAGCTTCTATAGACAAAACCAAGATGCAAGACACTGAGAAGGAGGCTGCAAGTCCCACGTGCCCCAGGATGACTTGAAGCATTCCTGAAGCCCTGTGTTTGGGTGATCAAGAACAGGCAAGCTAGTGACTTCTCTTGCAGGAGCTAGTCCTGACACCACCCTTCTTTCAGCTGGAGAGGTCACTACTGAGTTGCACAGGGGAGTGAGCGCACAGTGTGTGCTGCAGCAACTCTTGACCATGCACAACTCAGGAATTGAGACATCAAGCAAGGGAAATTAGTTCTCTGAAGAACTTTGGACTTTGCTCTAAGAAAACTGATGGCCTGACTTCCACTATGAGCCATGGGAAAAAGCTGAAATGAAGCAAAGCCCCTTTGCCAATTTCTCCACTATCTTGAACCAAAAACCGCTCTGATCTTTCTTTTGTTACGCAACTGCAGCCTAATAGTAAAAGGGAAAGATGTGTAATGAACACTCACTGCATATGTTGGAGTGAGGCACAGGGAATTTTCTGCTTGAAAAGATATAATTGCAGAATAAAGACATTTAAGAAAGATCACCCTGTTTTGAAACCTATGCGAATTTCCCTGGGGACAGTGCTAAAGGCTTTTCTTTCTGCCTGCCTTTGTTCTGTTATCTCAAAGATACTCTTTTCCAGTTACTGGAGCTCATTCACTTTCTTGAACAATGTGCAGTTCTTTTCATTCTCTGCTCTCATCATCTCTTGTCTTTGATCAGTTGTTCCTATGGTATGACAGAGGAAAAGCATATAAGTTCAATTACATTGATATATCAAGGTTAGATTTTTGCAAGAATTTAAACTGTGATTCAAGTTGACGTGTTGCTACTTCTTGTGATGAAGATAGTTTTCACCTATTAATATACAAGAGTAATGTCTTAATTCTGATGCAACAGAGAATTCTTCTCTAAGTGAAGTTGTACTTGGCTTTAGCTTATCAGCCCATTTCTTAGTCAATGTTCTCCCTCTCTTTGTCTCTCCTGATGTTCCTGCTGTCCATGCCTTTCGGTCACATACACTTCCTTGTAAAATGAGACATGTACTGATACTTCAGTCAAGCACCATTCAAAATATTCTGTTTTAAAGTCAGACTTCTAGGCTGAGTCAGTTGTCTATTCTCTTTCTGTACTTAACAGAGAAAAAAAAAAAAAACCAACCTCCCGGTATGTGTTTCTCATCACTAACTTTACAAGGAATCTGGAGAACAAGCTTGGAATAGATGTTTTGCTTTGAGATGATTTAAGTCAGGTGAGACAAATCAGATCTAGGTAACTAAACGTGCAAGTCCTGAGAGTACTTGTACTCCCCAATGCCTATAATTTCAAACATGTCCACTAGTTTTGGATATTTGGCTTGAGATGCGAATGGTTCAAAATATGAGCCTTTGATGTGCCAAAACATCTGGGGTTTTGACTGCATTTTCAAACTCTAGAGTTGTATTCTGCAAGTGCCGAGCATACGGCATCTTTTTGGGAGGTCCACTTGTTGACAGATAGCTGGATCCAGCCCCAGAACTGACATGGATTTGAGAATTAGCTTGAATGGATTGACTCCTGTAACCCTAAAGGTACTATGCTGCAGAACAGGGAGGGCATCAAAAGAATTCCTCAAAAGGGTCTCTTAAGATCAGAAGCATCAAAGTCAAAATAATTCAACAGGTGAAAAAAGCAGTAAGATGAAACAACCTGAGAGCTAACAGAAAGGGAGTTTTTCTTCTTTTTTCCTTCTTCTTCATAAATAATTTATCAACAGAAGAACCTGCTGAGGTCTGGGAAACTCTTCCTCCCCTGTGCCTTTCTTCTGTCTTTGCTTTTGGCATGGTTTTAACATATGAGCAGTATGGTTTTGGCTTACACTGTCAGAGTCAATAATAGGACAGCACTTCTGTTATGAAAAGGAAACTAGTTGAAATTAAACTATACTACAGCTGTATCAAGTATGCAGACACATTTTTAGTGTCTGATGAGGTTCCTGTTACAAAACAGAGCCCTCTAGGACTTGCTGACGTCAATCACCTATAATTGCTGTGCTTTTGTCATTGCGCGTGCATGAACTTCACATTATCATACACTGTGGTGAGTGCAGCATGTGTGGATGCCTTGGCAACATCAGAGGCTGTGCACTAAGCCCTCCAAGGTCCTTCTTCCTCACCAAGGCTTATAGCTCCTACCGAAACACACATACATTTCCAAGGTGCACCATCATGAGGGAGTGATACATCTGAAAAAACTGTCCCTAATGTCCTTTAGCCTTTCTAAAGATTGCTTTCTGAACATAGTAATTGCTCTAGTATGGATTTCCTGACTAATGTGGGTAAGAATATTTTTCCTTAAGTGTTTTAGCTGTGTTTTATGTGTGTTATGGACCTACGTCGATGAGAGCATAGTGTAACTAGCCCCAAAGGAAAACAAACAAACCCTGCCTAAAAAACACTGTACAATTATGCTAGCAATACTTTGTGTCTGAATGTGCTTCAGATATGAAGTATTCCCTTCCTTTTTATTTTCTTTTTTCCTTTTTTTTTCCTGAACTTCTGTGATGATTAATTTCTACCTCAAGTCTTCCTTCAAGGTTTAGAAATTATTTGAATTTGAAGAGTATTATTTTACAGACTAAGAAGAGGCAAGAGTGGAAAAGTGCTGCTTGCTGATGAGTATTGTGCTTCCAGACATACAAAATGGGATTTTTTTTCTTAAGGAACATAGACACCTACATGTGAGCAGGTTGAATAGCTACCTTTCCTAGGGCATAATTCACCTCATCGTAAAACACATGTCAGATGAGTCCCATGGCAGAATTCCCCCTTTCTCACCAGTGACAACACAAACAGCTTGGCCACCTAGCTCAGTGAGAACTGTCTATATTTTAGATATGTAATTGAGATGAGAGCCACTCTTGTTGGTGTACAAAGGTTCTCCTTGAATTACTTCTGAACAGCCCTATGAACTTCAATGGGATAAATAACATTAGTTAGGGTGAGTCCCTACAGTGGGGGACTTTTGCAGTTGGCCCACTAACTTTAATGAAGTTTGCATGTCCGTGCTTTAGTAAAGAGCATGAGGGAAAAAGGTGTTATGTGAGTGCAAGGAAACAGTTTTTGTCTTGTTGCCTGAAAAAAATCTTAATGATGAACCAAGTGTAAGTAGGTATTTTGGAAGAACTTCAGAGGACAAACTTTCAGAGACTTTAAGGAGCTCAGACTTTCCCGCAGAGGCTTTTCTTTTTGCAAATGTATGCGTAAGTACTCTCTCTCACTTACACAGCTCAGATTATTAAAAACAAAACAAACCCAAGAACAGTAGCTGACGCTTGTGGAAATAAAGAACTTCTCCATCTTCTCTGTATTTGGCATTTCAGTGTTGACTAAGTTGTTTGTGCAAACCCCATAAATAGCCTACACAGGTTACTGATACCAGACATAATATTGCTTGTGTTAAGTCTCTTATCAAGTTTTTATCTGGCTGCCAACCAGCTTATTAAAAAGCTGCTATTTATGTTCTTTAACAATATAGCAAGTGACCTGCATGGATTTTGTGATTTCATGAATGCTCTTTGTGGTTTCATGTTGATTGCAACTGAGAGATATTGTAAGGAACACAGTCAAGCCAGCACACAGTCATTAATTCCTGGCACAATTTAGAAATACACTAAACTGACTTGTAACCTTTAGCATATGCAAATATTCTGTCTGTCCATCGTTCATTTTGCTACCCTTGCAGGCAGCTCTGAAGCAAAAAGAAAGGAACAAAAATTCAAAAAAACCAAGGTCAACCCTGTTAGATCTTCCATTACAAATCCTGATGGAGCTGAATGTGTAACTTGGATATGATCTTCAAGACAGGTCAATCCATGATGCCCCTTTTATATCTAGAGCTTTCTGAACATAAAAGTGAGTGAAGCTGGCCCAGAAGACCACTGTTGGGAGGTTAGGTCATCCTAGACATGCTGCCAGCCAGCTGTTCAGGAAAGGATGGCATTTAGCTCCCCTCATGAAGGAATTGAGAGGAGATGTAGCAGCAGCCACTGGCAATAGTTAGGGCCATGATGGGAGGGAAAGAAGAAAAAAAAAAAAGGGGGTGCTATTATTTGGGGGACTGAAAGTTTCCACATTGTTGGCATACCCTGCCAAGGTGACATACCTTGCTCTGGTGCTGCTGTGGGTTCAGATTGGCCTCATCCAAGCTGCTAGAGTCTGCACCAGATTCTGGTCTTGAGGCACCAAGAGTATCCCCTTATGGCCACTAAGACAGAAGGAAAATAAAATCAAAGGGAATCAGGAAAAGCCTCCACACTCATTATGAAAACAAAACTGTGCTAGGAAACATGATGAGTATTTCTTTTAATCAAAAGCAGGAAGACATTTGGAGCACTTGGGGCCATCGATTGCCCTTCGGCCCATGGCGGAAGTCCCCAGTGATGTCAATGGGAGCTCTGCACGCGAATAGCGGGGGCACAGAGACGCCTTGGCGTACCACTGCAGGGAGTTTACCAAGACAGGCTGTGACTGAGGTCTACTGAGAGCATCCAGGGTGTTTAGTTGACTTTTATAGAGCACCTCATTGACTTCTCCAGATGCAAACGTGCATTTCCATTGAAGAAGAAGAAAAAGACGCCAAGTGTGGTGTTCTGTGCTTGCTTCCTGTCCCTGTCTTCAAATGGGCAGGAATCCTGCGATGTCTGAGCTGCTCAGCCCCCACTGCCTTGTTATTGGCATCAGTCAGTGGTCACACTGTGTCTGCAGACAGCACCAGTAGTCCCCAGAACAGCTCTTCCTCATACTTGTAATGATCTGGAGATTATGATACAGGAAACTACTTTGCAAAGCTTGCTGGTTTTGGGCAGGAGCTCTTAATTTTGTGACAAAGATGAATGAGTCTTTGGGGAGTAGTAAATCCATTTGTCTGGTAATGTTAAGGGGCAGGTGACCTCCTCTGTGGCTGCAGCCCCTGAAAAACAAAAAAGGTTCTTTTCACCATGTTACAAACAGGTTCATTCTTGGTCTTTCCTTGAATCGTATTGCAGAGGAAACTTCAGCCTAACAAGTCCTTAGGGTATTTTTTATTACATACGCATCCTCTATTACTCATAAGTTCCTTTTGCAATCTCGGTGGACGTTTAACACCTATTATTAAGTAAAGCATTGTGGCAGTCTTTCATTTCAGAAAATTTGTGTAACAGTTTCGTTAAACCTCTTTAGGAAAACTTTTTCAGTATCCTGGGGTACATTTGAGATGCTCTACCTTAGGATTCTCCCCAGTATAAATTCAAGTAGAATTTGCTTCTCTTCTTGTTTGATGTCTCAGACAAAAATATTATTGCATACAATAAGAAGAGAAGATATAAGGGCAGAACAGTTTTGAGATACTGGGAAGTGCAGATCATGCTTTTGAAAGAGAAGCAAAAGTAATGCATTTGAAGAACTACTTGGGTGAACATACATCAACAGGCAGAAGTCTGGGATCAAAACAATTTAATAAAGTATTGCAACTTAAGACTTTATAAAGGGTCAGTTCTTGCTAGCTTTACTAATTTATTTTTCAAGAAAGATTTCCATTGTTATCTGTAAGATTTTTGACTGAGTAAAAATAATAGGATTTGCCTGAAAAAACATTGGAGCTGTAGATAAGCACGGAATTAAGATCTGAATGCTCCACTTTTCTAAGAGTTAAAATCCAAACCTTATATGAATTTTGAGGTAGTCTATCTGCACTGGGAGTCAAACTGAACCTTCAGATCTGAACACCTGCAAAGAAGATTTGGAGCCAGAGCCTGTGGCTTGAGCCCTCTTTGTTAAGTGGTCCAAACAATAGCAGCAGCAATGTTCCCTGTTCCCAGTGCGAGCTATTTATGACAATGCCTTTTGTTAAAGGGATTGTTCAAGGGAGGGTAAAATACTCTGCCAAGCTTTAGTTATTGAGTGGAACGGAATGAATGTTTTCCTGGCGTTTTCATTTACCTTGTCACTTACAAAAGAGACATATAGGTATTGTGATAGCGAGAAGGAGGACAATAATTAACTCTTGCTAGTCTGTATTCTCAGAGTTGAAAATACGGCTGGATAATCACAGTAGTTTCTTTCTCCTGATGGAGCCAATGTGAGTTTTTCCCATCAATTTCCTTGCAGAGAGCAGGAACATGTCCTGTGTAGGGGTTTCCTGATAAGTTAATTTCAGCTCACTTCCCATATAATTACTTCTCCTGGTGATGATAAAATAGAAATGCCCTGAAATAAGAAATGTATATCTCAGCAGTAGAGGTGATACTGTAATGGGAAAAATGTACTTCAACTGTCATGGACTTTAAAGGAGATACCGAAGTACTGCTGTTTATATTGAGTGATAAACATATTTTCAAATATTTAATATTGTTTTGCTGAACTTGTTTAGATAGAAATAAATAGAAGACTGATCTGAGGACTTTGTCTAGCTTTCACTATGGACAGGGTTAGTCTGTTCTTTCATGCACTGTTACAATTTCCATGCACTGTCTTAAGATTTCAGATATTAACCTTTTCTTTGTCTTCTCTTGCAGATACAGACAATCCATTTGTAGAGATGCACAGTGATATACCTAAAGTAATACACATGACTGTGGGAAGAGAAATGATTATTCCATGCAGAGTCACAGCACCAAACATTGCTGTTACTTTAAAAAAGGTACCCCAGTCAAAGCATGCTCTGAAAGTGTTATTGTGGATGCTTTTTTTGTTTTGTTTTGTTTTGTTTGTTTACAACTATTGTAATGCTTTTGAAATATTTTGACAATTTGGTATTTCTTAAACAACATTTCTGGCTGTCAATATGTTTAAAAATCTTTCAACCCTGGAGGTTTTGTCTTGTATCTCACAGAAGGGCTTAATCAAATCTCTTACACTGGATGGAAATTTTCTGAAGAAACTTAAAATTTTCATACTATTTTATTAAATCTTCCCTGACAAAGGTTTCTTAAGTCCAGGAAGGAATTTCTTGTTAGGAGGAGAGATTTCCTCCCACTTCTTCCCCTGTCCTTCCTCTGCTTTCCTCTTCTGTTCTCTGGAACAGCCGGTAAGTACAGTCCCTGGAGACTTGCTAGGGCTGTACAAGGATCTCTGCAAGCCTCTGCCCTACCTCACTCCCACCAGTGACTTTGCTGCTTCCTTTTATATATAAATGCACTTATCAGAC